AAGCAGAAAAAATTGAAGACTATACTACAACACAAAAAGCAATAGAAGACGCAATAAATGCAAAACTTCAAGAACTCCCTGAGAGCTCAAACTTAATCTCAGAAGAAATACGAAATATCTTGCCTTTCGAACTACCAATCAAAAAAAGATCACAAACAACTACTATAGTAAACACACTAAGAATTGTCTATAATTTCAGCTGTCTACCTGAAATATTCTTCAAAGAGCTACCTCAACTCCCTGAAACACCTTAAGACCTTCCAATAGAGATAAAATATGCTTTCCCAATACGTACTAGAAGCCAACTCCAACAACTTCACTACCATGTACAGAAGCTCCGAGACCACTACAGCTTTGAGCAATTATCCAAAACATACTTTGACCTACCACCACCTAGAGAAGCCTTATCAGTAACATATCATGAGCTCAACAGCCGAGTTTGTGAAATGTTTCCAGTAGATCTATCAACAGAAGAATACACAATTAAAGAAGTAAAGAACATACTGAAAGAATACTATATCTTCAAGAATATACCTAATGACTACTTCAAACAAAGACCCCTACTACCCAAAGATCCGCTAAAAATTAATCTTAATACCAAATTTACATATCTGATAACAGACAACGAAGAAGCAAGAAAATTCATAAAAATAGCAGAGAAGAAGTATAAAATAAGACTCCCAATTGCAGTAGAAGTTATGACAGCAAATCCTACTAACAAACCATGACTACCCCATGACCACAAAGAAATTAAAGAATTCAGTCTAACTATTCCTATCAATACACCACAATCACTAACTGAAACAGCAAGACTACTTAGGACTGCCTATTATTTTACAAGAATCCTCGATGAGTGGATCGATATTAAACCAAGGCAACATAACAAACAAAACCTAACAGAGGAGGAACAAAGCCTCTAATTCCACCCACACTAGTTAAACTTCAAGAGTACATAGAAAACAAAGAAATTAAACTTCAAATCGAACTACCTATTACTACGCAACAAGAAATCACACCAACAATCAACAAGCTCAAAGAATACTTTGAAATACCACAAATACCCGACTACTTATTAAATCTACCAGAACTCCCTGTACCATCCTGGAAAATCTT